TCTACTGACCAGAGTTCTACCTTCAGACTGTGAATGTTCCAGAGGTCCAGGTCCTTCAAGTCCACAGAGGAGGGTCCAGATTGATCACTTTAATGGACTTTTTCCATCATTTCTGAGCCTCAGAACTTCATCAGTACAGCAGATAGACACATGACATTTAGGAGGAAGAACACATCTGGGTTCTGCTAGAACCTGACACCAGATCAGTTCTACACCCATCCAGGTGTCTCAGTCTGAACACTGGACCTGGTTTTAGTCCCCAGTGTCCTTCTTTGACCCTCCACCTTTACAAGCTTCATCATGATGCTGCCGCCGTCTTCACAGTGAGGATGGAGTGTTCATGATGTTTAGTGTCCATCAAACATCTGTTCAAACAAAAGTTCTAAATTTTGGTCTCATCAGATCAAAGAACCTTCTTCTGGTTCTGATCAGTCACCAGAGGAAACTTTACAAAGTGCATTCTGGGTAAACTTTCCAGGCTCATGTCAGCATGTGTGGTGGTGGTTGGTCAGAACCGGTTCTAGACAATGGAAAGACCGTTTAACCTCCAGAACCTACCAGAACCATCTGCAGACAGGATCCACTCTGAGGAGAAACTAGTTTGTACTGTTGAGATTCTGATCAATCCCATAATACTGATGCTCAGAGCTGGTTGTAGAGAAGCAGGTGTTGCAGCAGATGGATGTTGTGATGGCTTCACACTGACATGAAGTTGTGGTTTTGCTCTCAGGGCTGCTGTTCGCCTCCTTCGCCCTCTGTATGTTTGCTCTGTACAGCTTCATGCCCATCGTGATGAAGCTCAGTAGCGCCACCTCTGTCAACCTGTCGCTGCTCACCGCTGACCTGTTCAGCCTCTTCTGTGGCATCTTCCTCTTCCACTACAGCGTGAGTTCTTTCAGACTTCACTGATGGTTTGTGCTCCTCATTCCCTCCAACTACATGCATGAAAAGCCCAAAATCTGTGCATCTGGTCTGTGTTCTGTAAATAAAGAATCCTGCTTGAGCTCAACAGAAACCATCATTTAGATGTTAAGTTCAGCAGCTGTCAGGTTCAGAACATCAGGACTGTGTCTCCAGTCCAGCACCACCTGCTCAAACACAACTAATAATCTAAAGAAACGACGTTCAGCCAACAAGCTGACAGGAACCACTGAGCATTGAGCTTCCTCCACAACCAAAGGCATTAATCAGCAGAACTACAGAAGTGTAGCGTGTTGAGTCAGTGTCCAGGTTCTGCAGAGCTGCTCGGGTTTCCTCTCACTCACACAGGCTTGATTTCAGTTGGACTCAGTCCAGCCGGAGCCGTTGGTGATTGAGTGGAAGCAGCAGCAGACTGTCGGACTGTTGGCAGCTGATAAAGCTGCAGTTTGTGGGTCACAGCGACCTGCTCAGTGTGTTAATGAGTGACCAAGAGTTTGAGCCCAGAGTGAGTTCACAGAGCTGCACTTTGATCATCACTGATCGTCACTTTATGCCTTTAAACACATAAAATACCTGAAATTATTATTCCTTACAGAAGAGCTTGTTCCAAATCGTACAATTCATGAAGGATCCACATGATCAGACCACGAGCTGCTCAGTTTGAAGGTTTACCTCCACGAGTCACTTCACTGAAGCTCTGAGCTGCTGTGACTGTGCAGCATTGTAGCATTAGTCTGTATTTATGGAGGATTTTCTAAATCCAGTCTACAAAGTTCTTCACAGGTAGCAAAATTAAACAGACACATCCTGAAATCTGCAGAAATAAAAGCAGTGGATTAGAACAGCAGTGCTTCTGTGCAACACAGTGGAACAAGAGAAGGAACTTTAAATCTACAGGTTCATACTCTGGTGTTCAGAGGAGGGCCTCGTATTTATTCTACGTTCCATTAATGAGCCGATATAAACGGAATATATGCATTAAATAGTCAAAGATGACTGACGTGTGACATGTAAAGCTCTGCTGGTACAGATCATCACTGTGACCACACGTCTCTGTGTTCTCAACGGTTCTGTGGGTCTTCAGACAAACATCTCAGGTTTAGGTCTGATTCACAGACGAGTTGTGTGATGAACATAACGACGTCACTGCTCAGCTGCTTTCAGTGGAAACACGGAAAACCAAGAAGTGGTGTTTGATGAAGTGGATCAGCTGCAGGTGTCTGATGAGTGACGCAGGACAGGTGAGGAGGCAGCCAATCAGAGAAGAGACCCGGTCCAACCACTTCCTGAAATGTATCATTTCAAGAAAAAAGTCTCAGATACAGAGTTTATTGTACAGCTGCTAAATCAGATGAACATGTTGATCTGCTGCACAGAGCTAATGCTAATGCTAATGGTGTTTAGCAGAGGAATCCGATCAGTTTAACAAACCACTGGATCAGAAACAGACAGAAAGAAAAACAAACTGAAGCAACTCAGTTTGTTTAAGGGTACCCCTATAGGTCACTGAGCTGAGCGAGCGACCCATGAACAGGCTACAGTTAGCTATAGTTAGGTTTAGCTAGCTACAGTTAGCCTTAGCTAGCTGTAATTAGATTTAGTTATGGCTAGCTTTAGTCAGTGACAGTTAGCTACAGTTAGCTTTAGCTAGCTATAGGTAGCTGCAGCTAGCTTAGATTTAATTAGCTATCGTTAGCTTTAGTTAGCTACAGTTAGCTAAAGTTAGCTTTAGTTAGCTACAGTTAGCTTACATTAGCTATGGTTGGCTTTAGTTAGCTACAGCTAGCTCCAGATAGCTCAACAGATCAACTTAAACACTACAGATCCTGAAACAACTAGAACACCTTCAGCTGTGGAGGAAAAGCTCCTTCCTGTGACACACTGCAGTTTGTTGGGGGAACATCATTTCAGTTCCAGTTGTCAGACAGATTGATGCAAAGTGTTGTAGTGCTCTGGCTGGAGGTTGCAGTACTGCAGTAATCTGAAGCTGTTCTCTGTCAGTTCTCTGGACTCTACCTGGTCTCTCTGGTCGTCATCCTCATTGGCTTCATTGGTTTCAACACCGTGCCGCCACACAACGACCCCTCCGAACACAATTACCCCAACGACCCCAACGACTCCGCCGACCTCAGCAGCTCTTCATCCTCCTCGGATCCTGACCGTCCCCAGCAGCAGGTCGTGATGATGGAGGAGGAGTTTCCATCACAGGACCATGTTGGACGCAGCACCAAACTGTGAATCATCAGAGCGTCCATCCATCATCTCTACACCTTNGCTAACGGTGCTAACGGTGCTAACCACTGAGACACCTGCAGCCTGCATGAACACTAATGGATCCCTTTCAGAACGCTTCCCTCTGACAGATGCAGCAGACGGTGTTTCATAGGAACACAGTGTGTTCAAATAACGGCAAACATCTGTTTACAGGGAGGTTTTGCTCATTTACTTACATGAAACTGTCATTTTATGTTGGAATGTTGTAACAGAACAACTTCCATGGACACAAACACAGACTTCTGATGTGGACGTTGTTTACAGTCTCAGAACCGTTTAATGATTTATTGATTATTGTCTGTAATTTACCACAACAGCAAACTGTTTGAAACCTTAAATGTTTTAAGTGTCGGAGGTGTTTTCTGACCTGACGATACCTGAGTCCAGCTCACAGTGGAATCAAGGCTCAGATCAGATAGAGGATTACAGCCGACTGGAACAACGTGTAGAGTTAAACATCTACAGGAGGAAAGTTGTTTCTGTCACTGACACGCTGGTTCTAGTGAATGTAAACTGGGTCCAGTGTGTCGGTTTCATTTATGTTCTTATCAATGAATGAATGAACTGAAGCCGATCAAAGCGTCTCACACTGAAGTCGTTTCCTTTAAAACGCAGGGGATGGAAATATTTTACAGATTCTCAGGAGACGCTGGTGGAGATACTTTCTGCTGGGGCTGGTGGACGTGGAGGCAAACTACACC